CTTACATAAGCTCTATCCCTGGTATTGATATCTTAAAACTATATTTTTCATATATATATATATATATATATATATATATATATATATATATATATATATATATATATATATTTTCGTTTTAATTATACATTGTTTTAAGGCATGCCATGTTTATGGGTTAACAACCTCAATATCACGGATAGAACTTACGTAAATATAAAAGTTGGCATAGAAACCAACATTCAGTGGTGACAGTCTGTTTCAGACTAAACGCAATCGTCAATGTCCATTTTATATATATATATATATATATATATATATATATATATATATATATATATATATTACTTCAAGAGTAATTTTAATGTGCGTCCGTATTTAAGTAGATGCTCTGTTTATTTTTTTAAAAGTATTTGTTTCGTCTACCGGACTTCGCACTCGATAAAAACACATTACAGAAAATGTTCTCTCCGGTGGGATGCTAACTAACCTGATTCCCTGTTGGCGGGCTCAATTCTTTACAAAGCCTTCTTTGCAGAACGGTAGACACAATAATTACTGTTAAAAAAGTAAACGGAAAATCTAGTAAATAACGGGTATCTATATAAAAATATGTCGTAGTAAAAATAAAATATATGAAACCATTTTTTTAATATATATATATATATATATATATATATATATATATATATATATATATATATATATATATATTTCTTCAAATGTTATTTTTTAGTGGATGTCCACCCTGTTTGAAATAGAGGCCCTGTTTTTTTTTATTTTTAAATAATTTGTCTGACGTCTAACGGCTTGCTCACTCAGATGTCTATTCCAAACATGCATATTCACTAAAAATAATTTTTGAAGTTATGAAATATCTGAATAAAAATTAAAATCTATAAATTCTTCATATATATATATATATATATATATATATATATATATATGTGTGTGGCTGTATATATATAAGTGTATATATATATATATATATATATATATATATATATATATATATATATATATATATGTATATCTGTGTATATATGTATATATATTTATGTATACATATATATATGAGTGCATATATATATATATATATATATATATATATATATATATTCGCACAATAATTACCCATACTAAAATATATACATATACATGCGCTTACTTGTACAAATGCACTTGTACATATATGTAAGCATACACATATTTACACTTACATATGCATATATCTATACACACACACGCATATATATATATATACCTGTATATGCGGAAATCAAAGACCGATGATGTTTACACATAAGAAGCATACGCGGACAACATTTGCTTACAATATATCCACATACACACACAAACATCTATCTATCTATCTATCTATCTATCTATCTATCTATCTATCTATCTATCTCTATATATATGATATTAAAGATCATTAATTTTTTATTAGGTCCAAAGGCCTACTAATATACAATAAATATCAATATCACACACACACACACACACACATACATATATTTATTTATAAATACATACACACCACTTAGAAATCCATCCTCACGTAAAATATAAACGCACCCACATATTTATAAACTATATTTCTATACACTTATAAACACGATTATTTCTACACACAAACATATTTTATATACACAATCCTACTAAAATATATAAAAACTAAAACATACTGAATACATCCATAGAAAGACATTGCTATTTATAAACATATATTTACGAACACATACTCGCATTTATACATCTTTATAAATACATACGCAAGCACCCACACTCATCTTTACAAAGACCCAGGCACACACACACACACACACACACACACACGCGTGCGCGCATACACACACAAATATATATATATATAAACACATACATATTTTCGTAAATTCAAACACCTACATCTATAAACACATTAAAATACTTTTTTAATATATTTATCATATTCTTATATTTTTTATAAACACACACACACACACACTTATCTAAACACTCATAAATACACACACATATACATCTATAAGCACACAAAGACATTTTTATAATCATACACACAGACTGTCTGTATGTGTATATATATGTCAGACATATATATACACATACACAAGTTATATCTATAAACACAAACATGTTTTTTTATAAGTACACAAACATCACTACAAACAAAAATATTTATAATTACACGCATTTATAACACACACATTCGCACAGATTTATAGACGCATACACATATTTAAAAACATACACATGCATTTATAATACAAACCGATAAATCTGTAAATTAAATACATTTATATATATACGCACGCAATTTTATAAACGCACACAAATTAAAACACACATTTATTAACATGCACACAGATTTATAAATACACGCAAATTTATAAACACGAAAATAATTATCACACACACACTATATACATACATATATATGTATAAATATATATATATATATATATATATATATATATATATATATAATTTATTTGTGTAAATGTTATTTTAAATGGCTACTCATAATTGAGTACACGCTCAATATTATTATTTTTCGAATGTTCAGGCCGGTAGATGTAAATAAATAAATATACTATTTAATAAATAAATAAAACAGAACATCTGTCCATTAAAAATGGATACTCATATTAAATATTTTAAACAAATAAATTAAAAATATATCGGTTCCAATCTATATATATATATATATATATATATATATATATATATATATATATATATATATACGTGTAAAAATTGTTATATACATAAAAATAAAATATATCAAGAGACAAAAGGAAAACTTCTTTTTTGCCAATGCATTTTATCCTTAGATGGACTTTAAACACACGCATATACATTATATATATATATATGTATGTATGTATGTATGTGTGTGTATATATATATGTATGTGTGTGTGTATGTATATATATATATATATATATATGTATGTATATATATATATGTATGTATATATATATATGTAAGTATATCAGGAGTTGGTACGCGTATTTTTGTAGACAACCCTGTTTTTGTTTTTGTTTTTTTAAGCAAAATTAATATCTACCGTCCTCAAATTCGAAATTCGTATTAAAGGAAATTTCGGGAGGTCCTTTTTTCTTTAATAAGACTTTCGATTCCGAGGCCGGTAGATATCGCTTTCACAGTTTGAAGACAAGGAACTCTACGCAAATATGTGTACTTTAATTAATGAATATATACGTACATACATACACACACACACACATAAGCTTTATTATTATAGTCGACAATTCGTATTTGAAATAGACGCCTCATTTTTATTTAGTAATGGCTCTGAATTAAGTTTACGTTCTGTGCATTTGAGAAAGCTTCGTAAAGAAAACTGCCATCGTCAGCAGAGATCGATGTATATAGAAAGAAACACATATAGGCCCAAAGAGATAAACACACATATATAGGCTTCCGCTTAGGAAAAAGAAAGTTGTTTTTTTTTCCTCCACACATGACTTCCTAACTGCATTTTCATCTGAAATCCGTTGATGGATTACAGCAAAAGTCGGTCGTCAATTAATTTTCGAAAATCTCCCTAAACCCGCCATTTGCAAGCACTGCTGAGTACACAACACATAAACAAGGTTAAATGCGTATCAATATTTCATGGTAGGAATTACTCATCAGAAGCTATTATTTAACGTCGTTCTGGACTTTTATAGCACACACGCAGCCCGCGAAAAAAAAAAAAAAAAAAATGAGCGTATCACAGAGACGTTATGGAATCGGTAAGATGCACTTGTCGATAGCTTTTACAAAATACACAACTTATAAATCCTTTCAGCGCAGAAAAGTTAATTTATCAAAAAAAAAAAAAAAGAAAAGAAAGAAAGAAAAAAAAGATAAAAGGTTTCTGCATTGTCGACGTCGTCACAGATCTGTTAACAAAAATATAAAATTAATTCATTAAGGCATTATTATTTTGAATGATTCACCAATCAAATCGAAACACAGTCTTTAAGCTACAACAGAACCATTCATAAATTTATTACAGAAAAAAATAATTACTTACTTATAACTCGAAAATAAACGCTAAAAATAAGGTTTAAAAAAAAAAAAAAAGAATAATTAAAAAAAAAAAAAAAACCTGATTAACCAATCAAAATCAAACAGGCTAAAAATAAAAATCCCAGAATTTCTTTCTTCTTTTTCTCCATAACTCATTCTCTGCTGAATCGTAAATAAAAGTGAAACATGTCAGATTGATAAATGTTTCCTATCTGTTCTTTATCTTATCATAAAAAATATAAAATTTGTTTAAGAATAATAAAAGAAATATCAGTGCTACTATACAACACAGCATAACACAAACATAAAAATATACTAATAACTAAAATTAATCTCCCCCCCCCCCACGCCGCTTTGAAAATGACCGACTTAGCCGAAAGCGCTGAGGACAATAATCACTATGGGCATTTTCTACACACTTTTAGCCATCATAAAAGAAAAATTGTAAAAACAGTAGATAATAAATAATTTTGCAAAAATTATCCTTCTTCGTCACGTATACGAAGCATGTATAAAAGAAGGATTGCTACCCAAATATAAAATATTTAAAATAAGAAGATATAATTATTATAACAAATTTTGTATATCATTTAATTTACCAAATAGTGCTGAAATATTCTCAACCCTGACACAATTACCAATATCTGTCATTTTTTTCCCTTTCTTGATCAGGCCGAGAACTTTTCATCACTCATATTTTTATTGTAATTAATAATTATAACTAAATATTGAAAAATTAAATTTTCTTTAATATTTTCATAAATACAGCTTGAGTGTCAATAAGTTCAAAATTAAAGAGTTTATTGAATTTTTACACTATTCAAAGAACTTTTCATACCGTTAGAAAACTAATTATTGCCTTTTAGGTATGAAATGGTAAAAACAAGAACCTGTGTTTATAGAATGGGTGTAGCCATCTTGATAAAAATACCCTTCTTCTTTTTCTTCTTCAAAAGACAAAAATAGGCGGATGT